GGGAGAGCAGTAGAGATCCTCTCACAAACGGACGGGCTAAAAGAAACTTCAAGCGGAGAACCTTCAACCATTCATCCAGATGCACCCCATGGTAGTGGCAGTGCCCCTTCTGGTAAGTGTACCAGGTGGGGGATTACAGCCAGGCTGCTTGGTCCTAACCCTGGGAGTGTATATTGCTAATATATTTTTATTTCTCTCCCTAGAACGTGTAAGAAAGCCATGGTCTGCATCTGAGGTGAAGGCTGTGGAGAAGACCATGACGCCTTTCATACAGACTGGAAAGGTCCCTGGGAAGTCTCACTGCCTGGCCTGCATTAATGCCTCACCAGATGACCTTAGACATCGGACATGGAGTGGCATTAAATTCTATGTCAAAAATAGAATCACTGCAATTCGAAAAAAAAATCTAAAATAAAATTCCTTTAAAAGAGTTGTTTGTTTTCTATTGACTGTTTTGTATTACTTAAAGTAGGCCCAGTAAAAAAAGATTATGTCTATGGGTCCCATTCTGAACGGCCCTGTCAAAGGGACCCACCAGGTAACAAAAACGTGTGTGTGTGTGTGTACAGTACAGTACACAGCACAGTACAGTACAGTACAGCACACAAAATCTTTGTGGCTGGATGTTGAGAGTGAATATGAGGGGTGGGGGTGGTAGTAAATTTTGTTCTGTTTTATACTGTATTAATGTTTCTGTTATAATATATGATTGATATATTTGTACGGTATTAATGTGATGCACATGTACTGTAACCTCTTAAAAACTGTTAAAATAATTGAAAGAAAAGAATTCCTGGCAATGTCAAAGGGCTGCTTCAGGAATATCTACACAGTAACCCCTGTCGTCCTGCAGGGGGCGTCGCCTCACCGCAGCTGCACACAGAACGGGGTCAGTGGAGCCACGGGTTGTTTACTTCAGCTGCAGTGAAGCATGCTGGGTTATCCGAGAGAGTGGATCTGCAGAGACGTCACACACAGTCTAAACGCACTTCAGAGACCACTGCGTCTATTAAAGCTGAGGTACGTGACTTTCACGTATCCAAGTTCCTTGTCCTAAACCAGTTGTGTCTGTCACTAGAGTCCATGTATTTCTGGCATCAGTCTCATTTTTAGATCAGCTTTTTCAGACAGAAATGTGGAGAGAGGACCACCCTCACTCAGCCAATCAGCGCTCAGCCCAAACAGGGCTCTTTCACAAAAGATAACATGCTTTCTAATAAGCAGGTTATGGTCTGAACTACATGCAGTATTTGTGTTTAAAAAGTTAGTACTACTACTGGTACTACTACTGTTACTACTACTACTACTGCTCCTTCCCCAGTTCAGTGAAGAAAATATACCAGAAATGTTGAACTTTTGCCAATAAAGAAAATTATGCTGGAGTTTTGCCAAATGTTTTTCTTTGATTCTAAGAAACTTTGCAACTGAAACGGGACTGAACAAGGTCCAGGGACCTGCTGTAGACCCTAGTCCTGTTTTCGTAAGTAAGTATTTTTTATTTATATAGCGCCTTTCACAGACCAGAGTCACAAAGCGCTTTGCAATTGTTGAGTGCATTTGTTTCTCACTCCAAACAGAGTTTGTACATGTTTTTAATGACGGGGGAAACCTACACAGACACAGGGAGAACATGTAAACTTCACTCAGAGTAGGCCCTGTTCTGACCGTTATTCGGACCCAGGACTTTCTTGCTGAGAAGCGAGAGTGCAATCCACCACCATAGCCACCGTACCTTGTTTGTCCTGCTTTAGAACTGTTTTAGACCTGGTTCGGTGCATCCACACTCGGCCCAATGAAAGTCTTCATCTTCAGTTTGAGTGATGACATCATCAGTGTGTCCCTGTTCACCTCGTGTTTACAGATACATTTATCAGAAAAGATACGAGACAAACATTATGTCACTTATCTGAGAACAACACAACCATACAAGAGGAAAACACACTCAAAGGGCAAAGTCACAAAGCAGCAGCAGTTTAGTCATAGTAGTCCAGACCATTTATTTCAATAATGGACATGACAATACATCACTTTTTTACAATTACATTACAATTTCTAATAATTGTAGTTTTGTCACACAAATGAAAAGGAGCAGAAAGATGAAACAAATCTTATGTTGCTTACCCCTTTCTTTAAACATGTACAAAGTAAATAAATAAAAAATAGGAAAGACTTCAGCACGCCTCCTTCAAACTGTTTTTATTTTATCTTATTCATTTTGTTTTTTTCTTACATAGTTAGTTTCTTGTTTTTCTGATCATTAATTTAATGAGATTTCACTGCTTTAATTTTGTTCTTAACACGTGGATGTTATATTTGTCATATTTGAGTTGGTTCCACAGTTTTACTCTCTGACCTCTGATGTTCCCATGTGTTTCTGGGTGGTTTGGGAAAAAGAGACAGAAGTGTAGCTTCCTTCTGCTGTCCTGGTTGGATTTGAGAGAGAAAAGCTTTTGTACAGAGAGTCTCCGGCTTTATACATCACAATGAGTGACTGTATTTTGATCAGATCCTCTAATTTCCTCTTGAGTCCACTTAATGAACAGTCCTCATTGCCTTCTACCACACGTACCCTCTGCAGCACTCACCTTTTTTACTTTTAACTAAGTCCTCACTGCTTTTTTGGTTGGAGGATTACAGGGTACAGTGCTTTTGTCGGCGTTTCCCCAGTCTTCCAAACAGTAGGTCAAATGGGGCAATATCGGGTACTGTACAGTAGCCTTAGGCTTTATAATCAACGTTATGCAGTACAGGGATATTTTTTGATCATTTCATTTTTACATGATTTACATGTTACAAGGGCCTTTCTGAGTGGAGTTTGCATATTCTCCCCGTGTCTGCGTAGGTTTCCTCCGGGTACTCCGGTTTCCCCTACCACTAAAAATATGTACAATAGGTCTGGCATGCGCCTCCTGTACTGGCGACCCCGCTCCCATCTCTGTGTGGAGTGAGAGACAAGTACCCAAAAAAAAAACAATTGTAAACCGCTTTGTGACTCTGGTCTGTGAAAGGCAGTATATAAATAAAGATTACTTACTTACTTACTATGTTATTTCCAATTTAATTTTTTATCTGTTGTCACTCCCAAAAATTGTATTTCTTGCAGTCTTTCAGTTTTTGTGCTTTTTATTAACACCTGGACGTCGGTGTTGTTTGAAAACACTATAAATTTAGTTTTGCTTATATTTGATGATAATCTATTTTCAAGGAAACATGTTTTGATTTTTTTCATATTATCTTCTGATAGAAACAGAACATAAGTCATTAATGTATAAAAATATAATTTTGGCCCGAGAATGGAACCTTGAGGAATTCCACACTGAATATTTAATTTTTTTGAAGTAGGGATGCATGATATATCAGTACAAATATTCTTATCTCCCGATGTTAATCAGTTTTTATATACATATGTCACAAGGTGGACCAAGGGAGCGTGTAGGTGCGTGCGTGTGTGCGTGCGTGATGTGCATGTGTGATGGGCGTGAGTGCAATTAGGTAGAAAGCACAGGTGTGAGTGATGTGAGGGAAGGTGTCCGGAGCAGGAGTGAGCAGACGGGGCAGAGCGAGCAGCGATCGGGCCAGAGCAAACAGCGCGCACGAGACATCGTGCACGGAGCCTGGCGGAGTGGACCAGAGGAGGAGACACCGGTGACAGGAGGCGTCGTGGGGAACTGGAGGGGGAGAGTACGGCGACCCCCCTCCTCGCAGCTAAGTGGCTTTCCTGTTCGTTGGCGGTGGTTGTGGGAATAAGGCTGTGGCTATTTTAGTTCTTTGGAGTGCTGTGTTCTTTTTGTGTGAGCCGGGCTTGTAGCCCCTACCACCACCAGCCCAAGCCTCCCCCCTGTCACTGGCCTAGTGTGTTGACGGCCCTCCCTCTCTACGCAGGCAGCCCCGCTGCTGTGGATCGTTTTGTGCCCTGAGACCCGTGCGCACTGGCGGACTGGAGCGGCGCACCCGAGCAGACCAGGAGCGGCGCGCGCACCGGCTTTTGAGGGGCGCACCACGACCTTCACGACTTTTAAATAGCATTTTTAAATTGGGACCCGGTCTTTTATATAATAGCATTAATAATTCATTTTAATTGTTCCTAAATAAAATTGTTATTCCTTTCAATTGTGTTGAATGTCAATTAATAGAGTGCTCCCCATTGGACAGTAATAGGGTTGTGGGGCGACAGTAGCTCAGTTGGTAGAGCATTGGCCTTTGGGCCTGGAGGTCGTGAGTTCGATTCCCACCATGGGACCTACTCCAACTGCTCCCACTGATGACTGCTGTCGTTGTGTCCTTGGGCAAGACACTTAACCCCATGTTGCCTGAAGCCCCCCGCTGAAAGATCAAGGCGGTTTCTCAACTGATGGAGCAGCCATCTTCCTGTGGACTCACCCCCTGCAGAAGATCAGCGAGGGACTGGTGCTATGAGCATTGGGTGGCAGCTCTCATTGCAACCCCCCCGACCCAGAAATGGACAAATAAAAAGGGGTTGGAAATGAAATGAAATGAAAGGGTTGTACGGGGCCCTCCGCCCCCGTGACAAGTGGCGTTGCTGGCAGGATTGTCCAATTGGGTTGAGCCTCTATTGATTAGGCATGTCAACCGAGGAATTGCACGCAGGTGCGCAGCCAATGATGATGATGCCATTTTTAATGGGAGGACCTTGGGTGTCTAAATTTAACGGGGTTGGATTGGAGATTAGGTTTGGAGAATGGCAATCCCAATTAGAGACGATGCTCACGTTTCAACAAGTAAGGGACGCACACAAAGCAGACTTTGTAATAGGGTTTTTAGACGGAGAAGCAAAACGTGAAATTTTGGCTTTGGATCGTGGCGATCGAAACACCCCAAAGAAAAAATTTGATGCCTTGTCTGAACTGTACGGGGACAACACCCATGTCTCCGCTTTAAGAACACAATTCTTTAATTGCAGACAGGAGCCTAATCAGACTTTGAGGTCTTTTTCCCGACACTTGCGTGAACTGTTTTCCAGGCTTAAACAAAAAGACACCATGGGCTTGGGGCAAGGAGACCTGGTGCCGTACTGGGCCTTAAAGAAGGACCAGTACGGCAAGAGCTTCGTCGGCAGGTAGGAAAAGCCCCCCAGCTCACCTTCGATGAGGTAAAGATGGAAGCTTTAGCATTGGAGGATGAACAAGGACAGCAATGGCCTGCTTTCGAGTGTACAGCTGTGAGTAAAACCACACCCGTGAGCTCACACGGTACTGATTGGAAATAAGAGCTGCGTGCTGAGATCCTGAAGGATGTAAAGGAGCATATGTCTGAAATGACGAGGACTATTTTAGACCAGTTAAAGGGTGCAGCAGGACCTCAACCTAATTCTCCAACTTCTGGGTCCCCCCGATACAGGGACCGAAACCCAAGACCAAAGTCCCCATATAGCCATGGCAGATTCAGGTGGGACCCCCAGGGCCGTCCCATTTGCAACTTATGTGAACAAATTGGTCATATCAGTCGTAGGTGCCCCTCCAAACCAGCTGGGCAGGATTTATAGGCTCCCCGGCCACTGCGGGTCAAGTGTCCGGACCTCTTCAAAGTGACCCAACTTATAATGGTTTAAGAGTTAAACTCACTGGAGACTGCCCTCTAGTGGATGTGAGAGTAGATGGGATTAACGTGAAGTGTTTGCTTGATACAAGGTCTCAAGTAACATTGTTCAGTGAGAGTGTATGCAACGAGCTCTTTAGGAGCAAACAAGTTCGTAATAGTGATGAAATTCCCTGGCTCACTCTGAGGGCAGCGAACGGACTTAACCTCCCGTGGGTAGGGTACATGGTGGCCGACTTTGAAATCCATGGGGTCCGGGTACCTGCACGTGGCATTGTAGTGGCTAAGGACGAGTGTATTGGAGCAGACAAAGCCATCCTAGGGATGAACGTGATTACTGACTGTTGGGAAGAACTTTTCGCGCAGTACAAGGCCTCCCCCAAACACTCGACGCCACCACTGAGCAGGGAATGGAACACTGTTTTTATCGACTGTCAACGCATCCGTGCTGCCTCTGCTGCAGAGCCATGGCAAGCTACAGCTAGATTAGCCAGTCGTACTCCTGTAACCATACCCGCACAAAGTGAAATGACTGTTTGGGCCAAAATCCCACGGCCCTCTTCAAACCAGCCAGGCTGTGCGCTGGTAGAACCCCTTGGGGAAGATGGAGGAGTTGGGGTGGCCAGAGCATTAGTGACTGTGAGAAAGGCGCGCATTCCAGTGAGGGTTAGGAATGTCCATCCGTATGCTCTAACACTCAGCAGGTTCCAGAGGCTGGCAACTGTCTCGGCCGTCAACCCTGACGCGGTGCGGGATGGGAAGGAGCTCTCCATTCTGAATGTGGGTCCTGGAGTCGTGGAGGTTAATCTGGTCGACACTGCTGATCCGGACAAACCAGAGGTGAATGAGACAACTAATGCCCTTCCCCTCTCTAAAGGAGATGGACTCACAGATGGTGAGCAAAGACAGTTGAATGAACTACTGCGAAGATGGAGTCATGTGTTCTCGACACACAAGGAAGACTATGGACGAACGGGGGCTGTGAAACACCGGATTCCCACAGGTGACTCTAACCCCATTCGTGAGCGGTACAGGCCAGTACCCCCTACCCTTTATAAGGAAATCCGTAGCCTCCTTAAAGAAATGCTAGACGGGGGAATAATCAGAGAGAGTTGTAGCCCGTGGGCGGCCCCAATTGTTCTGGTTCAGAAGAAAAATGGTTCTTGGCGTTTTTGCGTTGATTACCGCAAAATTAACAGTGTCACGCATAAAGATGCCTACCCCCTGCCCAGAATAGAAGATTCACTAACTAGCCTGACTAAAGCAGAGTGGTCTTCCACGTTGGATTTAGCCAGCGGTTATTGGCAGGTGGAGGTAGAGGAGAAAGACGGGGAAAAAAACCGCATTCACGACCCCATTTGGTTTGTTTGAGTTTGAGAGGATGCCATTTGGGTTGTGCAATGCCCCTGCAACCTTTCAAAGATTGATGCAAAGGTGTTTGGGAGATGGGCTAGCGGAGTCTGCTATGGTTTATCTGGATGATGTGATTCTATTTTCCAGAGACTTCCCAGAGCATCTCCAACACCTGGAGGCAGTATTCCGCTCCCTGGGGCAGTATGGCCTTAAGCTCCGCCCAGAGAAGTGCCAGCTTTTCCAGAGGCAGGTCAAGTTTCTAGGACATGTCGTCAGTGGACAGGGAGTTTCGGCAGATCCAGACAAGGTAGCAGCCGTATCTGATTGGCAACCCCCTACCACAATACGGCAAGTGCGCTCATTTCTAGGATTTGTGGGATACTATAGGCGGTTTGTAAGAGACTTTTCCAAAATTGCCAAACCCCTAAATGCATTTTTAGTTGGCACGGGCCGTAATAGAGGCAGACGTTCCCCCTTTATTGAGTGGTCCGACCAATGCGACGCTGCCTTCCAGCAGTTAAAGCAGGAATTGCTACAGGCCCCCATTTTAGCGTACTCGGATTACACACTCCCATTTGTGTTATACACAGATGCTAGTAATGCAGGGCTTGGAGCTGTATTGGCCCAGGTACAAGATGGAGTCGAAAGGGTTATAGCATATGCGAGTAGGAGTTTACATCCCGCTGAGCGCAACGACTCCAACTATAGCTCTTTTAAACTTGAGCTTTTGGCGATGAAATGGGCTATAGTTGAGAAGTTCAAGGACTATTTGTGGGGGGCTAAGTTTGCTGTAGTGACAGACAACAATCCACTAGTGCACCTGCAGACTGCTAAACTAGGGGCTGTCGAGCAAAGGTGGGCTGCACAGTTGGCAAATTTCGACTACACCATCAGATACCGGCCAGGCAGGGAGAACACTAATGCTGACGTCCTTTCTAGACTGCCTGCTCCCCCAGACCGGGAATTGGCCGGAGAAGAGAGACTGGTTGGGGCAGTAGAGACTATGTCTATGGACTCTCCGCCCAATAGCTGGAGGTGGGACCCAGTGCGCTGGAGAAGTCTACAAAATGAAGACCCCGACTTACAAAGCATAAAGGAGCACGTTGAAAGAGGTACCCTACTGTGCGCTAACGAGAGACAATTGTTAACCCAATCTGCCAAGATCTTGTTGAGGCACTGGAGGAGGCTAGAGTTAAGAGACGGGATTCTATGTCGGATTGTCCAAGACCCCCAGACTCTAGAGACTCTTGCCCAGATTGTTGTCCCCACATCGCAGGCGAGGCCCCTATGGACTGTATATCACGAACAGATGGGGCATCCAGGATTGGAGAAGTCATTGACTCTTTTAAGAAGGACGTTTTATTGGCCACAAATGGAGGACATGGTCAAAACCTGGCTATCTGCTTGCCCGTGATGCATGCTGCACAAACCCGGACCCCAAGGTAAGGCCCCTTTAGTTCCACTTGTAGCGAGAGCCCCCATGCACATTGTTGCTGTTGATTTCTTGACCTTAAGTCGCCCTACAGATAGGTACCAAAATATATTAGTCATGACCGATTTGTTCACAAAGTTTGCATGGGCGGTCCCAACGCTGGATCAAACTGCCTTGACTACAGCACGGGCCTTGTGGACTTACTTGATCCAGCCATTTGGCTGCCCTGAGGTGTTACACTCAGACCAAGGGCCAAATTTTGAGTCTCGGTTAATCCAAGAACTCTGTCAGATCTACGGGTGCATTAAGAGTAGAACGACACCCTATCACCCAATGGGGAACGGAGCCTGTGAAAGGCTAAACCAGACTCTATTGAACCTGTTGGGCACGCTTGAAGTCGAGAAACACCAGCGATGGGTGGAGTACTTACCTGGACTGATTCAAGCATATAACAACACTGTTCATGCTTCTACAGCAGCCATTCCCAAACTCAGTAACACCGAGGCCCCCTTAAAAATCTGACGGGTCTGCGTGGCCCCCCAAAATAATAACCAAGAAGACAACATTAAGAATAGGCTCTTCTGGTTATTCTATTTTGGGGAAATAGCCTCTGCTACAAACATTGTAATACAAAAATGATTACAGTGGATTATTCAAGTCAAATAATGAACACAAATATTTTAATATTACAAACAAAACATTATAAATTTAACATTAAATAATTATATTATTATTCTTTTTTATGACCTCCCGCGGCCCCCCTGCAGTACCCTCGCGGCCCACCAGGGGGCCGTGGACCCCACTTTGGGAGACACTGTTCTACAGGATACGCACCAGCATTCTTGATGTTTGGCCGCCACATGAGGACCCCAGTTGACCTATTGACCGGGGGTTTTAGCACCAAAGCCCCTATGGACGCTACAGACTGGGTTACTAGGCATCAACAGCAACTGACATATGCTTACGAGAAGACATCAAGGAGCCTTCAGAATGCAGGTCAAAAAAATAAAAGACTGTATGATCGCACTGCAAAGGAGGCCCCGCTTTTACCGGGAGAGCGCGTGCTAGTGCGTGACCACAGGAGGCGACAGACTGGGAAACTGGGTGACCACTGGCAGACCAGACCCCATGTTGTTGTAACCAGGCTCCACCCCGAACGCCCAAATTATAGTGTGCGTCCTGAAGGAAGAGATGGCCCTGAACGAGTCATCCATCGCAACAACTTGAGACCATGCCCTAACTACATACAACCAGAGACGGAACATGGAGGTGACTATAATCGTGACCCCTCATTGCCACACTGGGGATTTATGGTGCCCCTGGTGGGGGGTGAGCAAGAAGACCCAGAGCCCCCACCAGAACCAAGGAGGTCCCAGAGGCCCAACATGGGGGTGCGGCCTCCAAGATTTAGGGACTAGACCTCTTGTTCCCTGTGTCCGCATGAGTGATGTTCCAGGGACTAGAACATATTAGTGGGGAGGATGTCACAAGGTGGACCAAGGGAGCGTGTGGGTGCGTGCGTGTGTGATGGGCGTGAGTGCAATTAGGTAGAAAGCACAGGTGTGAGTGATGTGAGGGAAGGTGTCCGGAGCAGGAGTGAGCAGACGGGGCAGAGCGAGCAGCAATCGGGCCAGAGAAAACAGCGCGCACGAGACATTGTGCACGGAGCCTGGCGGAGTGGACCAGAGGAGGAGACACCGGTGACAGGAGGCGTCGTGGGGAACTGGAGGGGGAGAGTACGGCGACCCCCCTCCTCGCAGCTAAGTGGCTTTCCTGTTCGTTGGCGGTGGTTGTGGGAATAAAGGGGCGTTCACACCGGACTTAACTTCGGCGTCAAAAGCGTCAGGTTTGCATTGAAAGTGAATGGTGAAGCGCGTCAGGTGAAGCCGAGAGCCCCGGCGTCACTTGGCGCGCTTCAAAAGCTTCAAAAGTCACGCGTAATACGCGCTCACTTGAAGCCTTTGAAGCGCGAAACGCTCGCGTATCAAAACAATCCCTCTGACGCCGAAGCTGAGCAAAGCTGAGCTTTTGAAGCTTTGACGCGGGCTTCAACCAATCAGGAGACGAGGAGCAGCAGCAGCAGAGGGTCTGTCTCTGTCATGGAGAGAAGTCATGTATCTGCTGCTCAGTGGCGGCTGGTGGAATTTTCTACTGGGGGGGCTATGAATATGATGACTAGATATATACCAGCAGTAAGTAAGTTTACACTGACTGTTGTGACTGAAGCCTCACACGAGAATCAACAAGGTCACATGATCAGGCCTGTAGCTTTCATCCAGCTGGGATGAAATATTTATCTTCCCAAACATAGCTAATTTGAGGGCATTTTGCATGTGGATACCAGTCTGCTCATGCTTCTTTGCCTTTTCTAAAAAGTGCTTCAGATCAGTCATACCTGTCTTGATCCATGCTGGGTCAGATCCTGATGTTTGAAACAAGAGGCATGGAAAGCAAAATAAAGCATTAGCCTCGCTACATGCTGCTAGCCAAGATTTGGCGCTGAACCAGGTCCTGGAAAAAGTACGAGTGTACCGTCTGTCTGTTGCTGGACTGCTGACTAATGGTAATATTTGGCTGATCAGGTCCAAGCTCTTTAACCTCAACCTTCTCCTGGTATGATCTTCTCTCAAACGGTATTGTTTTGAGTGATCTAACTGAATTATTCTTTTTCTCGTTCTCCATTTTGCGTCTCTTTACGTTCGTCTCAAATTCCCACAGCTTGACCTGTCAATCACTGTAAACGGACGTCACAGACAGTGACAGTACAGGTCGCGGGCGATCCCGCCCCCTCAGGGCGCACTTCTCCTGCGCCCCCAAATCGTCTTATCTCTTGCATTGAAGAGGAGCTACTGCGCATGTACAACTTTTAACGAGAGTCCATAGACGGCTCAGGGCGCAATCTTTTGCGCCCTGAGGCGGAAATACGTCCTCAGTCCGACACAGACAACGCTGATGAGCTTAATCAATCCAACTCAGCATAAACTATAAAGTATTTCTTCCACATCTGAAATAAAACACACATAAATGTCGAAATATTTTAATGTTATATTTTTTTTTTTACGTTTTATTCAAGGTAACATGGCAAGTTGTGAGTGGTGGGGCGGCGCCCTAGCGCCCTCTATTGGCCGGCCGCCACTGCTGCTGCTGCTGTTTTATTGTTATTAGTAATATTATTTGTATGAGTAGTAACGTTCTGAGTAACAAAAATCATTGTACACATGCTGTGTAGTAAACGTAGTTTATTTAATATAAGAACAGGCTGACGATGAGTCTGGCTCAGAGCAAGGCAGCTCAGGGCGGGCGAGAGGCAGGGAGAGGCGAGCGTGTGCGGGGAGAGCCGGGGAGAGGCAGGGAGAAGCGAGCTCCGGGGTTTGAGAACTCAGACTGGGCGAGTGACATGTGGAAGTACCGCTGAAAGCGAGACTCCTCCGTACGCAGCTCCTGGAGTAAATGACGGAACTCTGCAAACACTGCAGCCTCTCAAGTCTGTGGTGAACCCAGAACATATTTTGTTGAAGCCCTACAACAACGTTATTTTGCTTTATATAACAAATAAATGCTCGCTGCTCATTGAAAAATCCACCGCTGTCCTGACTACAGACAACAGAGAAGCTCCTCCCACCGGCGTCAGGCGCGTCACTCGCGTCAAAAGCTTCAAGCACCAAAATGACAAAACTATCCCGGCGTCAGTTGAAGCGCGTCAAAAGCTTTTTGAAGCTTTTGGTCTGAACGCGCCTTAAGGCTGTGGCTATTTTAGTTATTTGGAGTGCTGTGTTCTTTTTGTGTGAGCCGGGCTTGTAGTCCCTACCACCACCAGCCCAAGCCTCCCCCCTGTCACTGGCCTAGTGTGTTGACGGCCCTCCCTCTCTACGCAGGCAGCCCCGCTGCTGTGGATCGTTTTGTGCCCTGAGACCCGTGCGCACTGGCGGACTGGAGCGGCGCACCCGAGCAGACCAGGAGCGGCGCGCGCACCGGCTTTTGAGGGGCGCACCACGACCTTCACGACTTTTAAATAGCATTTTTAAATTGGGACCCAGTCTTTTATATAATAGCATTAATAATTCATTTTAATTGTTCCTAAATAAAATTGTTATTCCTTTCAATTGTGTTGAATGTCAATTAATAGAGTGCTCCCCATTGGACAGTAATAGGGTTGTACAGGGCCCTCCGCCCCCGTGACACATATTTATACATATTTATTTATATCGCCATCAGACCGATGTGAAGAATTGGGCCTATAACTACAAGTGTATTGCTCGATTGCAGCTGACGTCACGCAGCGGCGTGAGGGTCAAGAAGTAAATCACCCCATTAATAACCATGGAACTATTCTCTGATTCAGAGTCAAAATGCTCTTTTTCTGCGGCATGTACAGTTGTGACAACTGCTCATATCAAGTGGAGAACTTGTGGAGTCTCCATTTTGCTAAAATGTGTTCATCTAACTGATTTTTAGGAAAATGTCTAAAAAGGAACGGAAGAAATGTGTTAGCATTAGCCTGAGTAGCATCTGCAGCCGCCGACACAGCCGACAGTCTCAGTTCACTTCGCTGACTTTCATAGATACAATGCTGTATTTTTGTGTGGTATTCGTTTGTAGTAACCGAGGCAACTGTGCGAAAGAACTCTTAAATACATTTTTAAAACCAAGGTGTTCTTATAAAAAACAAAAAGCAGGCTGTACAATCTAAGCTGTTAGCTTAGATTGTACAGCGGTTATTGGCCATAACAGAAAAGTTAATATCAGATATCGATATCGGCCAAAATGTGCATGGCCAATATCTGCACAGACTGTTGTCTATTTTCTAAATATCTTTTTACCCAATTTACTACCCCTCTTTTGCCGTACCACTGTTTTTTATGAATATGTTGTGATAGTTTGTGTCAAATGCCTTTTTAAAGTCCAGAGATACTGTCTGTGTGCTCTGTTTGTTCTCTACTGCTGATGTCATGGGCTCTGTGATTTGCAGAAGTGCTAAAGCTGTGGATCAACTTTTTTTTTTCTATGAAGGAATCTTATCTGTGAACAAAAGGGTTTTCAAGAATATTTGCAACCATTGAAATTGAAAACTATCTGGGAAAAATCCAGAGGTCAAAGACAGGTTTAAAAAGTGGTCTCTGTCAATGTCTTATTCTTGAACTGTGCTAATGCTGTCACTATTTCTGGTTCAATTTCTTCTTCCAAGTATATGAAGTGACTAACTTTACTGTCTTGTGTTTTGAGCATCTGCATTACCAGCGGTTGACTCTTTTTTATGTGTGCGTGTGCAAGATTTGGTTGTATATTTACAAAGTACGAGTGACGCTTGTTGGTCAGGTCTTTATCATCTATTTGATTGTTTTCCTCATTCATTTTGTAATTTGGTAAAGTAGACTTTGGTTTATTCTTTTCCATAACTTCTTTTTAATATCTTCCATGTTGCCTTCATATCATTCTGATGTTCTAATAATGCTTCAGAATTATACTTTTTTTTCTTAATTTGCTTGTTAATTTGTTTTTAAACGTTTTATATTTATTATTAGTATGACTTTCTTGTGTTCTAATGTGAGACGGGCTTCTTCTACACTGTTTCAAATCCAAGACGGTTCTGTTTATCTGTGCTACAACTGGATGACTAATACATTATTTTTAATGCATTGTACGTTATTAATGATTTTAATCCCTTGTTTGATTTTAATGTCCCATGTGATCTTTATAATTTATGTCAGGGGGGTCAAACTTATTTTGGTTGGGGGCCAAAAAAAGGTTGATTGATTTAGTAGTGGTAGCAGTAGCAGTAGAAACCTTTTTTATTTTTCATTACAACAACAAAAACTATGGAGAAGAAAGAAATAAGAATCAGACCGAAAAGGGACTAGTCTGAACCGTGGCTTATGTTGCCTTCCCCTTTTCTCAAAGTATGTGTTTATACCATAGACTGTATTGTTTATACACTGAGCAAACCAAATTGCATTACTCATTTTTCAAAATAAAATACCTCTCGCCGTCACCACCCGACCACAATTTTTTTTTTCGCCTTTACATCTACACATGCACCTATATACATACACATCTACACACACACACGCAAATATAAATACATACACATACATTTTGCGGGGCGACAGTGGCTGAGCGAGGGACTGGTGCATTGTGATTTGTGTGGCAGCTCTGATTGCCTCCGACCTAGAAATGGATAATGCATTGTTATTATTATAATGTTATTTTGTTTTATTCTTCATCGTGTT